GGGAGAGGTTTAAGGATGGTTGTGTGTGATGAAAACACTGTGATATTGAAGAACATTGATGAGAAAGAGAAGGAGAAACAAGGACCCTTCCTGTCATCAATATATTCCTGTACAGCAAGTAAGCCCCTCCTTTGGCCAAAGAGCTCATCATCTGTTGACCTCAACACTGCCCTGGGTCATGGTTTTGTAAGTATTACCTATTATTAAGTAGTAAGCCATGTCCAAAATCCGTAATCCTACTTTTGATGTATTAGGATGACCAAGCATTACAGTAAATACAGTTATAGAAGCACTATGCATAGCTCAAGGTTCCTTACCTGGTAGACCTCAATAAGCAAGAAACCTGGACAAGAATCTGGAAGGAGATGGAAATGACTGAGCAGGCCAGACGCCTCCTTGTCTTATTTTCATACAGTCTAACAACATGTCCCAGCAAGCTTAATTGTCTTTTTAACTGGCCTCCATTAGTTTATAAGCAGTGAACGCCAAAGGGAGAAGAGGTACCAGTAGAGATGAGCATGATGGCAGCATCAAGCAGTAAGAGTGAGGAAAAAGACAAAAATGCACACAACAGGTAGAAAAATTGAAGTGGATAAAAGCGGTTGGGAGCCATTTAATGCAGAGAAAATACAGCTCCACACACACCACTCAGTCCTGCCAGGAACATCACTCTAGCACAGTGTCCTGTGTGTAATGATGTCTGCGAGGCACCAGCAAGGTGAGTGGAACAAATTTCTTGGTAGAAATAGCCAAATTAAGCAAGAAAAGAATTTTAGGAATCCTAAAGTGGGAACATGGGTTGAGTGTTGTCTTAATTCTTACTTTTACTCTATGTGCTAAGTCGAAAGTGACAGCGAGACAGGGCCAAAGTGTATGGCATACAGTATCCAATCCATGCGATGGTTAATTAAAATGTCCTTCTAATGTATCAGCCATCAAGACAGAAAGCTGTTCACACAGCACGTGAACCACTTTCTCTCCAGAGGAGAACGGCAGTGGTGTGCTGAGGTAAGCAAGACTGTGTACCCTGAAGAATTAATTCACCCTAGAGTCCGAGCAGTTTACTAGCCAGCTCCTTGGAGATTCAGGGTGTACTGTCAATTGCTCTAATGCTCTGCAGATGGAGAATTTTAAGCACTAGATTCAGATCATAGACTTAGTTGAACTAGTAAGAAAAAAAACAAACATCACCAGAGCTGTCTTTGGCTTTCAATAAAGAGGCATTTACTGAGAACCTACAAATTGCCAGGCATTATTCTGTGTATGGAGAACACAGTTGTTAACAAGACCATCTTGCCTTCATGGCCTTAAACAGCATGCGAGATAAATGTGCAAGCTAAGAAATTCCTGGCGCAAAGGTTCCCAGCTGCCTTGGCATCAAGAGCTATTCAAGACCTGAGTTCACTTAACAGGTGTGTTAACACAGCAACAAAATCTCAGCAGCAGCAAAGAAGTCCTCTAGGGCAGGCACATACTAGTTGTTTTATACACAGTCCAGATTAAGGACTTCACTGCCCAGAGGGACCATGTCCTTCCGACGGAAGCAGGTGGGCAGGTGTGGTGGAGACCGGAGCACCCAGACCTCCTCTCACAGGCACAGCCACCTCTCAGCTCCCAGCAGCAGCAGGAACACACTGACCGGTGCTGGTGAACTTCCAATTTTCCAAGGGCAGCCATAAATCTCATATTTGTAATACAAAAACGAACACTGGAGCACAAAACCAAACCTGCCAGAGAGTTCAGACTGAGCTTGTGGCAGTTTGCGACCTTTGGTTTGTCCTGCAACTCTTCAGGGGCGGCGACCCTGGCCATCTGGTTCACTGGTGTGTGCCTTGAAGCTCTCAGAATATAGGGCTGAATTGAATTCTTACCAATGAACCTGCAGAGCAGGTGCTGTTATATCCATTTTGCAGGAAGACCACAGAGCTCACCTGTGTCAGAACTGGAATTTGAAACTTGGTCCACGTGCTCCTAAGCCCCGTGCCTTACACTAGAGCATCCTGGTGGGAAACCCCCATCCCGGGAAGCACTCTCAGGCTAAAGCAATGCATACAAAGCTTTGATCCAACCACAAAAAACATTGCAAAGAACTTAAACCTACTTCTCTGTTTTCTATTTTCCCACCAATCTGTGGCTGGACCAGCAGATGAGAGAGAAAGTGTACAGAGGGATGAGAAGACCCAATAGCGGCTGTCCATGGGTCCTTCAAGCTCTCTCCTTCTGTCCATCCCTCCCTCCCTCCTTCCCTTTCATGTGCCCCATGGTAGGAACCTGGTCCATAAATGTGGCCACAATGTGATGAACTTAATACAGAGAAGCCATAGGGATAGAATCATTCACAGAACAAAGACATCAGAAATACGATCGGTTGAAAGAGGAAAGCCCAGGAGCAACTGAATTACATAAACCTTCATCAGGAGATCCCTGGATCAACTAGGAATCCACACTCCAAGATGTGAGCTCAGAGAAGCAGCATAATGTCAAGGTACAAAAATATTCTGGAGCCAATAAAATATTCACTAAGAAGATTAAGTAACAACACACAAAAAATGAGCATCACAAAAAGTTGGATTGAAAAAGCAGACTATAAAATGTGAGCTACTTAGTAATGGCAGCCATTCTCATTCAACATACATGTATTAAAGACCTCGCTTCTTGTTAAATCGACTTTGCAAGTGTGCTTTGCAAGTGTGACAAGCGTGGTGCAGGGGGAGCTTAACCATCACCCTCACTCAAGGCTCTCAGACTGGAATCTTATTTTTATGAGATTTCCTGGGAAGAATGGAAAGGATTACTTTAGGGTTGAAGGTTAGGCTCCAGGCCACCCCAAGATGATAAGGGCTATCTCCAATCTCCAGAGGAGTGCCCCAGGGGGCAGTGATTTTACTCTGAGGGACAACGGTGACTCCATCTGAGTCGCATGTAAGGGTCCCTTGGAAGGGCCAGCAAATGAGAGCCAATGTGAGATCTCGTCCACTCTCCAGCATGAAATATCATGCAAACTCTGACAAAGCCAATATTGATAGCTCCAGCCCGATCTCTCATCTGAATTCTTCACTGGAACATCACCCCACAGCCAACTCGACACCTCCACTCACTTGTCTAATTGGCACTTTCCAATGACATTCCATCCCTTCTAACATCATGCCTGCTCCTCGTCTTGTCTGCCCCATCTTGACTCCAGCCTTTCCTTCTCTTCTTTTCATATCTCAGGTCAAGTCAAAGAGCCAATATGTTGGCTCTGTCTTCAAAATAGATTCAGAATCTCACTGCTTCCCACCACATCCAACACTAACATGGAAACCTGTCCACTGTCATATTTCACCAAGATTACGGTGGCAATCTCCCAGCTAAATCTCCCGCCTTCTTCCCTTGTCCCCTATGGTCTGTTGTTAACAAAAGTACTAGAATGATGCAGTTCTAACTAATGTCAGATGATGTCTCTCTCTTAAAACTCTCCACTGGCTGTTCCCTGCCATTCGGAGCACAAGCTCTGATCCACCCCTCCGACAGAACCCCAAGCTCTCCTACCCTCC